TTCCGCCCGCCTTGGAACGTTAGTTTCAAAATGAACCGAATGACCCGATAGGACTCGGCGATCGCGTAATTCGATCCCATGATTAGGCGACGCAACGCGCGCGCGAGCCGCCCGCCGTGCAGAATAAGAGCGAACATATTGAATTGCTGGTGATGTCGAGCGTATTGAGAGCCCGATCATTCCTGATGGCTATCTGCAAAAGATAAACCTGTTAGTAATCACCACGCGGACACACACAACATTCGCCAGGGGTTACGTTGGGAGCGAGCAATTAAACATGTTTTGACAAGATTAGTTTGCGTCCTCCAAACCGCTTTGACCCTCGATATCTATGGGAAGCAGGCATATTTTGACGATCGGTCGCTTATACTCGGTCGTCGCGGTCTTTACAGTTACGACCCGCGTCAAGCCGTCGGAACCAGCATGGCACTGCGTGATTCGGCCCATTTCCCATTTGCAGGGCGGCAAATTTGGCTGGCGAATGAGGACTATCTGTCCTTCTTTTACGGGGGATTGAATGGTTTTCCACTTACTGCGCTGTTGCAGCGTGTTGAGATAATCGCAATTCCAGAGCTTCCAGAATTTTTCCGTTAATTGACGAACCCGTTGCCAACGCGAAATTCTGTTTTCATTGAGCTGGAGCAATGATGGTTCCGGGCTCAGTGTTAGATTAGAGCCGATAAGAAAGTGACCGGGCGTCAGAACTTCTAAAGTCTCGGAATCATCTCGAAGAGGCGCGATCGGACGGGAATTTAGACAGGCCTCTATGCGACATAAGAGCGTGAGGAATTCCTCGTACGTCAACGTGTGGTCTTGGAGCACGCGACGCAGATGATATTTGACGCTTTTTACGCCTGCTTCCCATAGCCCTCCGAAATGAGGCGCCGCAGGAGGGATAAAATGCCACTTGACATGGTCAGTGGCGGTTTTATTAAGAAAGTCGTTATTCCGCAAGGCGGCACGATACGCTAAAGCGAGTTCCTTTTCCGCGCCCGCGAACGTCGTTTCGTTATCGGAGTAGACTGACTCCGGCATTCCGCGACGGGCGCAGAATCGCGTGAAGGCGTCAAGAAAGGCGTCACTGGCATAGCTTCCGACGAGCTCCAAATGAATCGCGAAGGTGGACAAACAGATGAATAAAGCGATATATGCTTTATTAGATTTGATTCCTCGCCCGTGACTGGCTCGGACTCTAACAGGGCCCGCGTAGTCGACTCCACAATGCAGGAAACTGCGGGAAGTCGGCCTCACTCGGACGGACGGCAGATCGCCCATTAACTGCTGGGGAACTCGGGCGTTTTCGCGTACACATGTCACACACCGGTGGATGACCGCTTTAACGAGCGTGCGGCCGCGGAGGATCCAAAATTCTTGACGGAGAGTGTGCAGCGTTAATTGAGTCCCGCCATGCAACGTCCGTAAGTGGGCTTGTCTTATGAGTAGCGTCACCAGCGGGTGCGTGGCGAGCAGGATAGGATGCTTCGTTTCGTACGGCACCCACGCGTGCTTTAAGCGTCCTCCAATGCGCATAATTCCGTCGTCGTCGAGGAATGGATTGAGGGACAGAATTGAGCTTTTAGCAGAGAGAGGACGTTGTCTCTGTAACGCGAGAACCTCCTGCGGAAAGCTCTGAACTTGAATGCGCTGAAGCCAAAAGATTCGAGCCGCGCGACACTCATCGGTAGTGAGAACAGGGTTACGCTTCGAAGCGACGGAGCCCCTCGCGACAGCTCGACGGCACGCGGACGTGAATTTGATGAGGTACGCGGTCACTCGAATGAGTTTTGGCCACGATGAAAACCTCGTCTCGAGGTCCCAGTCGGGACTTGCAATTGAGGCATGAGATGCGGCCCGCGCGTCTCAGGCACATCGTCGACAGACAGCGGACCAATTTGCGGCGGCCAAGATTCCGACGAGAGCCCGAGCCACGACGGACCATGCCACCACAGGGGGTGTAACGGAAGCTCGCCCCCGTACAGGCCGCGGGACGCGCAGTCGGCAGGATTGTCGGCTGAGGCGACGTGATTCCATCGCGCGCCCGGAACGTTGGCCTGGATTTCCGCGACGCGATGGGATACGAACGTCTTCCAGCGCGATGGGTGCTGGGACAGCCACGCGAGGGTGACGGTCGAGTCCGTCCAACAGTAGCAGTCGGACGATTCAACGGGAATCGTTTCGCGAAGAGATTTTATGAGACGCGTAAGTAATACGGCGGCTTGCAGCTCCAGTCGCGGAATACTTAATGGCTTTATCGGCGCGACTTTTGATTTACCGGACAAGAGGGCGATCCGTACGGCGCCGGACAATGTTACAATTTTCAAATAAACGACCGCGGCGTAGGCTACGGATGACGCGTCGGCGAAGCCGTGTAACTCGATGAGCCGAGTATCAGCCCCTTGATTTGTCCAACGGGGGATTTTGATCGCGTTTAACCCCGGTAGCTGTGAATAAAGGCTAAGCCACTGCTCGGCATGCTCTGGCGAGAGTTCGTCATCCCAGGCAATACCGGTTCGCCAAAGCGATTGCATGAAGATCTTCGCTGTCACGGTCACAGGCGTGACCCACCCCAGTGGATCGAAGAGCTTCGAGATGAACGATAAAATCGCGCGTTTCGTGCGAGGCGCTTGACACGGCACCGTGACTTTGAACTGAAAGTGGTCGTTCGCGGGATTCCAGCTGACGCCTAGAATTTTGAGCTGATCGTCTTGCTGCAGTAGTTTATTGCAAGCTAAGCCATGATCCGCGGGATCAATATCGGTGAGTAATTCGGACGAGTTGCTTGCCCATTTTCTTAGAGTGAATCCGCCTCGACGAAGCAACGCGATCACTTGTTCGCGGGTTCGACGCAGACTTTCGATCGTGTCGGAGCCGAATAACACGTCGTCGACGTAGATTTGTTTTTGTAAAATTGGAACGGCGAGGGGAAACTGCTCGCCGTCATCCATAGTTAATTGCTGAATGACTCGAAGCGCGAGGTAAGGCGCTGAAGTTGTCCCGTAAGTGACGGTGAGCAACTGATAATCTTTGAGGGCCTCGGACGGATCGGATCTCCACAAGATTCGTTGATAGTTAATGTCCTGCTCGTTGACTTGTATCTGCCGATACATCTTAGCGATATCGGCAGTGTAGATGTACTTGAAGGTTCGCCATTGGAGAATGACCGAACTGAGATCGTTTTGCAGCTTTGGACCCGCGAGCAAGTGATCGTTGAGCGATAATCCGTTAGAAGTGTTGCTCGACGCGTTAAACACCACTCGCAGATGAGTCGTTGCGCTGTCTTCCCGTATGACGGGGAGATGCGGAATATACACGCATTGCGTATTGTCGGGAGACCTGGAAACTTCGCGCATATGACCCAACCGCTCGTAGTCCCGCAAGAACGTCCTATATTCATCCCGGAGTTCGGAGTTCGCGTTGAGCCGCGTAGTGAGACGGTTCATCACGCGCTCAGCGATCGCGCGCGATTCGCCTATGGCGATGGGAGGGGCGTCACGGAAGGGAAGCCGAACGATGTATCGCCCGTCTGAACCGCGCGAATGCGTTGAGCGAAAATGAGTTTCGCATTTTTCCTCAGAGGGAGTCAGGGGTACTTTTCGCGGAACCTCCTCTAACTCCCAGAACTGGCGAAGAGCCTGCTCGAGCGACGGTTCACTCGCGCCATGTAGCGAATTGATGGCTGGTTGCGAACTTACGTGAGCCGAGGTGACCGTTGACGCATGCGCGGCAATCGGGGAAGCGATCGGCCCGGAAATGATCCAGCCGAGTACTGAGTTTTGGGCCGCCCGGCCGGAGAGTTTCGAACTCCATCGAGAAGGAGCTCGCCATAGAGATCCGCCCCGATTAGAACGTCGATAGCGTGAGAGCTCATCGGATCGTCATCCGCCCAGACGAGATCCGTGAGATGAGTCAACGCGGGTTCCCGCGGGACCCGCAGCGGAGCGTAAGCCGTTAAATTCTTTAAAATCAATGCGGTGGTCGGGAACGCCGGCGTCAGCCCACCCCGCGGTGAGATAGCGATTCGCGCAGCATGCCGGTATGTACCGGCATTAAGGCCACTGACGGCGGTAATCGTGGTGGGCCTTCGCGTACGTTTCAGCGAGAGCGTCTGCGCTAATCGCTCGGTAATGAAGGTCATCTCAGACCCCTGGTCTAGCAAGGCTCGGACCTCGATCATACGCCCCGAGGGCGCATGGACATTAATCCACGCGGTAGCGAGCAGTACCTGCTTACTAGAGGAGGCAGTCTGCGAAGCGCACAACGACGAAATTTCGCTCGTGGTTGATTCGGCAGTGGGTTTAATGTTTTGGGGGGTCGGAACCTTATTGACTTTTGCCGAAGAGTCCACGACTTCGTGTAGCAGGGTATGGTGTTTTTGATGACAGAGCCGGCAAGTGTATTTGCTCTGGCATGTTTGGGCTGTATGTCGCGAGCTAAGACAGTTGGAGCAACGGTTTTCCTTTTCGACTAAGTCGCGACGTTGCCGTGGACTCTTGTTCAAAAATTGTTGACATGATTGAAACGAATGATTTGCTTTACATATCGAGCATTTAAGGCTGTAAGGAGTTGAAGCGGTTGCACTATGAGCTTTAGTAGACGCCGCGGATGTCTTCTCCCCGGAGGAGGTTGAAGTTTTCGTTTCCTCGAGTGCTCGGATGCGAGAATCCAAAAATTGTTGGAGAGATTTGTAATCGGACGGCTCATCACTCTCACTATGTTTCAAATTCCAAGCCTTGCGAGTGCTCGGGTCGATCTTTTGCGTGATAATACAAACAAGAATGTCGTTCCAAAGTTCGGATGGAGACCGTTTGAGATTCTCCAAGGCGGCTGTGTTAGAATTGACCTTATCGCGTAAAAGTTGTAAGTCGGACATCGATTCCCGAGTAATGTTCGGTAAGTTCAGCAAGTTCATCAGATGCGTATTGATCAGCCGACGTTTGTTCTCAAAACGCGATTTTAAGAGCTTCCAAGCGACGGCAAAGTTGTCGTTGGTAACCGGCAAATGCTTAACACACTCGAGCGCACGATCCTTCAGGCTAGCGAGCAGAAAGTGCATACGCGAATAGTCTTTCAGCTCGGAGTTATCAATAATCAGGGAGGTAAACCGATCTCGAAAACTCTCCCACTCCTCATATTTTCCGTCGAACGGCGGCAGTTTGATCGGAGGCAAACGGGCGAGCGAACCTGACGATGAGTTTCCGAAGGACTGAGTGCTATTTAGCGATTGGTTCGGACTTACAGGCGGCTCGAGCTCTTCAAGACATTCGGCCATATAGTCGACCGTTACCTGGTACGTCTCCTCAGCGGCTTCGAACTTCTTGTCCGCGAAGTATGAATACGTGGCCCGGATACTTGTTGGAGTTTGCATCAGAAGAGTTACGTTACCATTCTGCACCGCCGCCCACACTTCTTTCAGAGCGGTCATCCGGCTCCTAATGCGCGCGGGCGTTAAATTGTTTTTCCCGATCTTTTTGAAATTCTCGAGCGCGCGATCGAGCTGCCGCAAAAGCTCGCTCTGTCTCTCGAACGACTCGGTCATAGTGATTCCGCACGATGGAATAGCCTCACGGGAACTCGTAACTGTTTAACACGACACCAGCTTCTGCAATCCGGCTCGAAGGACCAGAAAATG